GCACACAGGCCTGTCTTCTTTTGCGCCCACAGGATCTGGCTCAGTCCAATCATGTCAGTTTAATTATTATTAAATGTAATATGAGGTCACCACATATTACGTTTAATAAATCTGCATGTTTTGTGGGGTCAGTGGTTGGAGACAGGAACAACACACACCCCGATGTCCATGTGGCAAAAGAGCAAGTTTATTCTTCAAACTCCTCTTTATAAAGGCGATTTGAAAAACCCGGTTTGGATAACTCATTGGTCTGATCTTTCACACTGCCCAGCTCACGGACCAGCGAGATGTCTGCAGCTTAGGACGGAATGTAATTGGTTGAGGTTCCTGCCTCTCAGCTCAAGGGCTGGTTTTATGGAGCCAGCTGGGTATCTTATTTATAGCTGAATTAATTGCCCAGTACAAATCAGCTTGTACAGTAACATCCAAGAACCTCCTGAACTCTCTCCTCTGTGTGGATTGTATTTTCAGCAGACATCTAGTGTGTTGAAGCCCCCATGAAGACAAGGACTGGCCATTATGAGACTTGTTTGCCTCTTGGTCCTTGGTTGAGTGATTTCTACCCAGCTCCCACCTGGATATCTGCCCTGTTGGCATTCCCCACAATTCTTACCCACCAACCCTAAACACTTGCATCATCACTATCAAGCTCTAGACAGTCAAAACACTCCCTCACATACAGGACTACCCCACCACCTTTCATTCCTTGCCTGTCCCTTCTGAAGAGTTCACCACCAATCGTTGCACCATTTCAGTGGTGCCAGTCATCCCACCATGTCTTTGTGATGGCAACTATGCCATGGTTTTCCTCCTGTAACATGTCTTCCAGTGCCGCTCGGCCTCGGCTAGCTGGTGACAGGGGGGGCGGCAATCCCCCTCCCCCGAGCTCCATTGAATCCCAGGTGCCAGCGTTGGCATAAAACACAGAGCAGCACACGGGTCCCAGGGTAACTTTATTTGATAGTAAAACTTCCCCTCTTCTTCATCCTGGGACCCCGAACTGAGAGCAGATAGTGACTTATATGTGGGGGCAGGTCTCAGGGAAGGGTACAATCTTTAACAAATCAGGAAAACTGGGAGGGAAAAACAAGGCAGGGAATACAATGTATAAACCAATACAAAATTTCAAGGAAGGAGAATATTTTCAGTGAATTACTAAAGTTTGAAGAAATAGAAACTGGCATCTAATAACAGGAGAAGTGACGAAAGTTCTGGGAAAAGGGCAGAGACAAAAGGAAACAGCATAAGCAAACTGCAAAATTACAAATCAAACAGTAAACATACTAATAAAACAAAAAACACACCACAACATTCCAGGATCTCCTGTTTGCTGCCCACGCTGCACGCACTGGGGCAGATACACTTCAATTGGGTTATCAATCCCAATGCCTTTTTGGGGAGAGAAGCTCCAGTCCCTGAGTGACCATTCTCAGGAGTTTCCATGGTTTCTAGCACATCAGTAACACTTGCACTCTTGCTGCTTTATGGCAATGAAGTAGACATTTCCTATGTCTACTGAGATGGTAGCCTGAACAACCTCACTAACACGCCATCCTTCGAACAGTGTCAAGCCACTCCCAGGCTTATCTCAAGTGACCTGGTTTTTATCCCCTTCCCCCTTCAAATCCAATTTAAGGGTCACTCAACATGCCCTGCTAACTCCCGCACAAAGATTCTTTTCCCTCTGAGACAGGTGTACCCAATAGGCTTGTCACCAGTAGGCTTGTTGTCATCTAAACCATCCCACGATCAAAAACCTCAAAATCCTGTTGGTGACACCTGGCTTAAAGCCAGGGATTTGTCTGTAAAACTTTCCTGTTTCTACCCTGAACAGTGAACCCCCCAGACCAACCCCTCCCAGTTCTACTGCTGACCATGACAACCTGTAGTTGGGAATATGCCTGGGGTCAGCTGGGGTCCAATGTCCTGGCCATGTCCCTTTCCAACTCCTTTCACACCCCCACCCTACTCGCTGGTGGGGCAGTATGAGGAGCACCAAAGGCCTTGATGCTCAGCATTGACTGAAATATCCCTGGTTTATCAATGTTCCCTCCAGCAAAAACCCAACCCACAGCCCCAGGAAAGAAATGGAACTTATCCTCTGCCCAAAACAGTACATTCTCCATCCCTTATTCTATGCCATGTACATCCTGCTCAGGTTCTCTGGTACCCAATACCCACCAGCCCCTTCTCACCCTTAGCTATCATGTACAGATATCATTCCCTTAGTCTATGGACCACTCCTATGAAATGTCCATAAAATGCTCATGAAATGTCCACAACGTCATAGAATCACAAAATGGTTTGGGTTGGGAGGGACCTTAACGCTCATCTTGTTCCAACCCCCTGCCATAAGCAAGGGGCACCTTCCATTGGACCAGGCTGCTCTCCAGGCCCCATCCAACACTGAACATTTCTGGGAATGGAGCATATACCTGCTCTAGTTTGGCCTTCTGCATGGCTGCAGTGCCTCCACGGGTGTACCTGCTCTGTTGGGGGTTTATGCACGGCCACACACTTTGAGGTGTTCCAGCATGACCTCCAGCACAGCCACAGATGCTTCAAGGTGTACTTTCTCTAGCATGGTCTTATCCTTGGACCACATTCCCTTCAGAGTTGCTCCTGCTGCACCATGGACATACCCAATGCTTTGGGGTGTCCTGCTTCCACATGGACACATCCACAGGTCACAGTAAGCAGAAGCAGCCACTAGTGAGAACCAGACTAATTTACAGTAAGGTGAGCACAGGAGCCCTGTGGTTTTACTTTCCCTTTCTCCCTGGCCTCCAGGGCTGCCCTGGCCAGGCTCTCCTCACACCAGATCATACTCCTCATCCCAGGTGCCCCAAGGACAGTGTCTCCTCCTCACCAGAGCTCGCCCAGCTGGATTCCTGCCCTCAGCCAGGGATAGTGCTGCTTGCACCTCCCCCACTATAGCAAATCCTTTATGTGCCATCCCAGCAAGCCCCAGGACCCCTCCTCCTTGGTGGAGGGGTCCTCCAGCACCTCCAACTCTCATCCCCCTGACGCTCCATCACCCATGGATACCTCCCTACATCTGGCTGCTGTCCAGCTCCCTGCTGGCTGATGGTGCCCCTCGTCTGGGGAGGACCCTGCTTCTGAGGGACATGAACCCTGCTGGTATGTGGGGGTGATGGGTGAGCATGGCCAAGTCACTGCTGCCAGCAAAGGAGGAGTCAGAGGTGGCTGAGCACATGAGTGATAAAGTCTTGGGGCTTCACTTTGGCTCAGAAGTAAGCCTGGGGGCCTAGCTGTAGGCTGCCATCCCAGTGTCATGAGCATTGGCCCCATGGTCGCCCTGTTTTTTCTCTGAACCTCCAAGTGTGCTGTACCCTGCTGTCAAGAGCTGAGTACCCAGAGAGAGGTATTGCTGCTGACCTGAGCCACAGCCTATGCTCTCCTCAGCAGCATGGCGGGGATTGGGGCAAGCACCACATCCCGGGTCAGGAGCACTCTGCATTCATGCACCCAGAGTCTCAGGACATGCTGCTGGCTGGGATCCCAGTGAGGTTGCTCCTGGTAGGTGATACAGCAGGGCAGGTCTCAGCTGGTGCTGGCATCACTGTCTGGGTCAGTGCTGGGACGTGTGTCGAGGAAGGGCTTTGCCCTCTGATGCAGCTGGGGTGCTTTCCCCAGCCTGCCCTGCATCTCTCAGCAGCCCCTCCCAGGCCCCAACACCCTCCCTGACCTGACCTTGCTCCTGCTGCCACACCTCCCCAGCCACTTGTGGAGCAACCAGTTGCTTCCCTGTCCACAGCACCACAGCATCTGGGGGCTTCCCTTAGGGTGGCTCTGCCCACCATGGAGCATCTGCTGGCCAGGACTCTGGCCACTGGTAGTCCCCTACACCAGCAAGACCTCCACCTCATCAAGAAGATGATGCTGGACATGGCTCCCACCTTCTTAGCTACTACTGTGTCCACGGAAGCATTCCAGTGCCACCAACCTATCCATGTTGGCTGCTCCACGTCCACCTCCCTCTGGAAAATAGCAGTTGCCCTTCAACTGGGATGTCATCTTCATGATGGAGAACTGCTACAAGTCCCTACCGAGGACTTGTTCCATAAGGACAAGGAGGGCCTCATCCCACTTTTCCAGATGTTTGAGGTTGCTGACATTGCCCGCTTCCAGCGCTGTTTCCGAATGTGTTCAGCACCTATGACTATGATTTTGTGAGAGTTGATGTCCCTGCAGGACAGTCTCTCCTGCCACCAGGCCACAGGGACATGTGGCAGGGAATGGTCCTGTCCCACCAGCTCTGCCAGGACAGGGAGGTCTCGATCTTGGTCATGGCGGGGGGCGTGCCATGGGCACAGGGCTTTGTGCATCTCCGAGCTGCTCTGACCTGTGGTTTGCAGTGGGGTCTGTGGGCAGCAAAGTGTGACACAGCATGGCACAGCACAACACAGCATGGCACGAGATGGCACGGCATGGCGGGGGTGGGTGCCATGCTTTACAGTGAGGAGTGTGCTACTGCCATCACACTGAAAGCAAGGAGAAGGGGTTGGGGATGGAGCCACCAGCATCCCAGGGAGAGTAGCACAGGATGTGGGACACAGGACCATCACACAGGGTCCTGCATGGCAGGTATCTGTGCCCAGCTCAGCGTAGCCATAGTGCCATTGTCCCCGGGACACTGGCTGAGCCTGGCAGGGCCCTTTGCTGAGTGGCAGCTGTGGTGTCAGGATGCAGCTGTGTGTGGGGTCTGTGAGAGGGGATGGAGGCTGGAATTAACCGGGCTACGGGGTGCAGCAGGGCTGCCTTGGGCAGGTCCCTGCCCAGGTGGCTGCTCCACTGCTTGCCTTTCCCTGGCTCCTAAGAGTCACTGTAGGACTGGGGTGTCCCCAGGGGGCTCCTGTGGCTCCCTGGGCTGAGGGCAGCTCATGGGGGCTGCATCTGAAGGCTTCTCCATCCCCCCATCCCTATCCTTCCCACATTCTGAGCATCCTGAAGTGTGATGCCCATAGTCCAGGGGCTGCTCAAGAGGCTCAGAATCTGTTCCCCAGCCAGTCCCACAGCCCAGGGGGGTCGCAGTCCCCACAAGCACTTGAGGGAGCAAGAAGGGGGCTGGGACATAAGAGCAGGGGCCCTGCCAGCACAGGATGGTTACGGGGGCTGCCCCATGGAGCAGCAGATGGGACTCAGCAATGCCATGCTGAGGAACAGCCCCAACCCCCCCAGGTGCAGAGAGGGATGTGATGGTCCCATCTTCCACAGTGCCTGCAACCCAGGGCTTCTCCACCCACCCTCTCCTCCAGGGCAGGGCACAGCCACTGTGCCAGGTATTCCCTGGGCAGAACTGGGACTGACTGTGGCTCTCTAGCCCTTCACCAGGCAGGGAGGGGGTGAGGAATGGATCCTGCCCTTCACAGGCACCAGGGCTACCTCCTCTCCCTCCCTCCTCATCCCACAGGTGCCCTCTACACCCCTGGGCAGCACCACCCCCAGGATGCAGGTGACACTGGGCAGCCTTGACGTACTTTAATAAACCCTGGGGTCCCAGAGCCAGCTATGGGCAGAGCTGGTTCCAACCCAGGCAGTGCTCCTGACTTAGCTTGGGGCACCAGGAGCCCCACTCACAGTGGGGCCAGCACATGTGGGGCCATGCAGTCCCCAAAGCAGGTCAGAGAGACGGGCCTCCCTGGAGGTATCACATGTGCATGCAGTAGTGTGCAGCTGTCAGAGCAGGGAGCTGCACTGCAGGGTGCTCACCCAGCATGGGAGTTGCTCCCTCAGCCCAGGCCCCCACTCTTCCCAGTGACAGGGGCCAGTGCTTGGGACGGCCATCGCACCTCCCTGGTGTCGACACCGAGGGGACTGAGCACCACGCAGGTGAAATTGGTGTGCAGGTGCTGGCTGTTGAAAGAGCTGAAGTGCAGGTCACGGTGCAGGGCCCATCCTGAGCCCTGCAGCTCCTCTCTGTGAACCCAGCGGGGACCAATCAGTGCCCACTCCAGATGGACAGACCCAGGGGCCTTGTCCCAGCCTGGGCTGCCCTGCTGTCACTGCCCCCTGTCCCCATACTCACTGCACTGTCCCCTCACGCACAGCCCCGTCCGGGTGCAGGCTCTCCACGAAGAAGCCGTTCTCCAGCCAGTAGAGCAGTGTCGACTCTGGAAGCTCACTCAACGCTTCACATGACACAGTCACACTCTCCCCTGCAGCCGGAGGGCATGTGAAGGTCAAGGGAGCTGCAAGGATCCCCAGTGCCCTCCAGGCACAGGCAAAGCCCCCCTCCCTAACTAATCAGAATATTCCCCCACCTCATCTGCACCCCAAAATCTTGGCTGTGGGTGGAATATTTGCCTTTTGTCTGCTGGAGGCTGGCACAGAAGCTGAACCCCACTGCAGCCTCCTCACTCTTAGGCCCTGCCATGGCCCTGAGGGTCTCTCACCTGGGTGAGGAAGCTCTGCTGGCATCTGCAGGGTGGTGATGCTGGGCGGCTGCAAGGCCATGGCACCTGGGGGAGCAGCAAGGGGTGAGGTGGGAGGTTGAGAGTGACCCTGAGACCCCACATTTTTGTAGTGGGTGAGGAGGCAGGGTCCCACAAAGGGACAGAGGCTCTGCTCATCCCCAGACCCCTGAAGAGGCCTTTGAGTGGCACAGAGCCCGGGGTTGACCTTAGGCTCTCCAGCCCCCCACTCACCTGTGCAGCAAGCAGCCAGGCCCCAGCAGAGCAGAAGGATCCTGGCAGGGCTTCCCAGGGGCTCTGCAGACAAAAATGGCGCTCAGTGCTGGGCACACAGGGATGCTCCCCATGAGCTTGGGATGGTTTCCCCGGCATTCCCTGAGCCTGGCATGGTCCCATCCTCAGCATCCTCCCAGCTGGCATGGTAACCTCAGCATGCTCCCGCCAGGACTCCCCAAGTCGACGATCCCGTAACCCTCGTATCCGTCCAGCACCCCCGGAGTCTGTGATATCCCGTACCCCCCAGCATCCTCCTCCCGGGGTCACTCAAGTCGTGGCTGGTGCCCCCCAAGGCTGTCCGCCCACCGCTCCGGTACATACGGAGAGTCCGTGCCTCAGACACGGGCGGCGGCGCTCGGCTCCGCGGCGATTTATGAGGCGGCGCGGGGAGGGGCGAGAGGCAGCGCCGTGACTCACCGGGAGCCGCCCTCGGCCCCGCCCCGGCGACGTGGCGCGTTGCCGCCGCACGGAGACCCTCTCCTGGACGCTGACGCGTGTCGATGGGTCGTGCGCCGCCATGTTTCCGAGCCCCATGAACATGCCTTGTGTCCCCAGCACTCCATGCCCCCTGTGCTCTGTGTGGCCTGCACGCAGGGATACACATCCCTCTGGCACTCCCAAGATCGGCATCCCATGACCCTCCCCCCACCCTTGGGAGAACAGCCATGGGCTCGACAAGGATGTAAGGCCCAGCTGGGCCCACCCAGTGTCCAGCACATGGGGCGCTGGCTGAGTATCACAGGATTCTGAACATGCTGGTTTGTTCCCCGATGCTTTGGGATCAGGGACGAGGCAGGGTCTGCACAGGAGGAAGGTGGGTGAAGCCCCCAGGAGACTGAGTACGACAGTGTCTGGGAGAGCCTGGGTGTTGGTCCGTGGGTGTCTCAGCTGGGGGAGGACAACAGCTTAGCAGATAGAAACCCCCCAGGGCTTTCGTTCTTGGCTGCAAGAAGCCATCTCCTGTGTCCCACAGCAGTCCCCCACCCCCAGAGCCAGACCCTTGACAGCAGATGTGGTTCCGACAACCCACTGATTACAAAACCAGGGGCCAGACCCCACACCCCACTTCCCAGCAGCATCAAGGCTGGGAGCCAATGTGGGTACAGCAATAGGGCAGAAGCAGCCACCTGAGTCACAGGCCCTGGCAAGTCTTGGAAAAAAGTCCCTGAACTCCCAGTGAGTTTTGTTTTCCATTCCCAGCAGAGAAGGAAGGTGGCAGGAATAGGAATGTTATGGAGACCTGGCAAGTGCAATACATTCCCAGCCTCCTGCTGGGATAAGGCCACTGGCTGCATCCTCCTCACGCAACCACGGGTGTCAAATGGGCAGTGATGAATCAGAGGTGGCCCCCAGGGCAGCACCCAGCTCCTCTGCCACCTTCCTGCTTCCATCGATACAACCAGCTTAGCTCTGGATGCTAGCGGGTAAAAAAGGTGTGCAGGGAATGCAGATGAGTGCTCACTTCTTTTATGAGGTGAGCATCTGCAGGGAATGCAGATGGGTGCTTGGTCATCATCCACCCAATATCCTTCCCCTAGGAGAGATGAAAGGAGGAACCTTCCATGCCCTGCAGCAAGGAAGATGATCAAGAAAAACCCAGGGCCACATCTCCGTTTCCAGGGCTCTTATTTTGGTGTTTGGCACAACACTGCAATGTGGTCTCACCCAAAAGAAAACTCAAGAGGATGCAGCACGGTGCTGGAGGTCCCCAGGGGGAACACAGCACCCACAGCCATGTCACCATTGTGGCCACTTCCCAAATCCCCTGAGCCAGGAGCTGCCTTATAGCCCTCCACCAGACCCCAGTGCCCTCGGGGAATATGACTCAAGCCTCCACATGCCAAAATACCACCGCTGGCCCTGGGACTGGGGACTTTGCCCCCACCCACTAACAAAAATTGAGCCCAAGGCCACTTGCCCCAGCAGTACTTTGGCATAGCTCCTACCAGCAAGGCCAGGAGGATGTCATGGAGTAATGCTGGAGCCGGGAAACGCCAGCGCCAGCCCAACCTTCACTCCATCCCTTTTGTTGCAGTGCCAAGAGCAATATAGTGAGGACAGACCTGCGCCCTGGGGCAGGGCACCTGCTCGTGAAGTACCATTACCATCACCCAAAAGGGCACAGAGAGGAACAGCACTGGCCCCACTCCATGCCTTGGCTGAACCCCCTGAGCAGTCAGGGGACACTGCTGGACTCCAGGGAGGAACACAGAAAATCTGGGAGCATATAAAAGGGTTCCCCAAGGCAGAGCCCACCATCACCATGCTGGAGAGCAGCCTGGTTGCTGCTGGGTAGCCAGGTGACTTTCCATCCCCTCTTTCAGGGCACTGGGTTCCAGCCTCTCCTCTGTAGCCCCTACATCCCATCCTCACTTCCAGCAAGGCTGCTCCAGGGTGCTGGCGTTGGAAGCCGACAAAGCCTTGGCCCTTCTTGCCATGACCTCCCCTGACAGAGTGGCAGGAAGGAGCTGGAGAACAGCCCCCAGCCCAAAGCTCAGCCCAGGAGGGCCCTGCAAAGGGCTGGACAGAGACAGGGAAAGGGGACAAGTGTCTCTTTGTGGCTGCAATAGAAAGTTTTAAATATGCTCATTAAAATAATTGCTTTTTAAAAAAATCCTTCCCTAGCCCCAGCAGGAGGGGCCCTGATGTTGCTGTCCTTGGTGGTGGCCAAGGTCCTGAGAGGTGACGGAGCAAAGCCAGCATCCCTGGTGGCAATGTCCTCTTGTGGTTCTGCGGCTCCCCACCACCTGCCCTTACTCCAGCCCGAGAATGTAGTTGATTCCCTGGACCAGTCCGATGATCACCGGCTGCCAGGCCACCAAGTAGCGCAGCCAGTCCAGCAGCTGCCCGTACATGACGTGCGGCCTCTCCCAGCTGCGCAGGAAGGAGTTAAAGAGTCGTGGGGAAATGGATGAGAGAAGCATGGCCCACCCAGAAGCCACCCAAAGGTGCCCCAAAGCAGGGACAGAGAACACAGGTGCCCAGAGAGGGATGGACAAGCACTTGGGGAAGGACAGACATGAGTCCTCATGGAGGGACAGCTGTGGCCAGGCTTGCCCTGGGTTTTGCAGGGTCTCTGCCAGAGCCACATGCTGCAGAAACCTACTGAGGGTGCCAGGCAAGTCTCTCACCCCTTGTGTGCTCTACCTACTGCTTCCTTTCCCAAAGTGCTGACTCCCAGCAGGAGAAAGGATACGGATTACTGAACATCCTCTTGAGATCCACCTTCTCTTTGCAGTATGGACACGTCTGCTTCTTCCCGACAATGCACCAGCCCCGGATGCAGAACTCATGAAACCTGGGGAGTGGCACGTTAAGGGGAACTGGAAGAAGAGGGGGTACATGGCTCAGTGTGGAAGAAACCACCAAGGCCAAGGAAGTTCCCCCAGACCACTGGAAACATCCCCCCACATGAGGATGGTGCATTGCAAAACCACAGCCCTTTCCCAGAAGGTGCAGCAGCTTCCAGGGAGAGCAGAAGGAGCTCATGGGGCAGCACAACAGAGCCAGGGTGGCAGTATGAAGGCCCTGACCAATGCATGGGCACCAGGGAGACTGAAACTCTTTGGTGATGGTGCCCAAGCACTGAGAAGGTTTGGACAGCCTGGGAGAGCTCTGTGAACTGCATGCATTTTGGAAACCTTCTTCAAAGGCTTCCTGGAGATTAACATTTAAGGAATTTCTCTGTAAGTAAGGGTCTGACTTACAGGTGCTTGCTATGCTCTGTCAAAAGGATTTGCATAACCTGAGCACAGCCTGGAGAAGTTACAGGAAAATATGAGGTGGCTGCAGCTGACTCTGCCATGTATAGGGATGTCACAGAGCAAACAGACCTTCCCCAGAATATCTCTGCTGCTCAAACCATGGAAGAATGTCAGACAGCAGCAACAGGAATCACTTCCTTGTCAGCCCTGGAGCCACAGATGCAGGAGTGCCCAGCCAGCCATCACCCTTGAGGACCACCAGGAGCACCAACCAGCTCCTCTTGCAGCCACACCACTCCAAGCTGCTGCAGTCCCAGGCCCCTGCACAGTGTCAGCCATAAATCTCACCAATAGCTCTCAAGAGTTAAATTTAGGCTCCTGTTTTGCCAGCATGACCTTTGCTCAAGCCCAGTTTGGAAACCACCTCGCAGGCAGTAACGCACACAGTGCCAGAGGACATCCCATCTCTACACTGAATCACCACAGGGAAAAAACCCCGACTTGCCATCCCAGCTGGGAGTGAGCACTAACCAGTACTTCCAGTTTCAAAACCCACTTCCCATCAATCAGCTGACAGGAAGAGCTGAGTGAGTCCAGTGTGCTGGAAACCCTGGAGGAGTGCTGGAGAAGCAGGAAAGAGCTGGGCTGTGGCCAGAGCAGGTAGCAATCAGCAGTACTGGACCAGGGGGATGTTTTCAGAGGGGGCCAGAAGTGCTTCCCCACAGTTCTTCCTTATAGACCCACTGCAACACATCTCTGATGAGGGGCAGTGTGGCATGGAGCAGGGATGCCTCATGTCCTGACCTCACACCATCACTTCCACCAGAGGATCTGCTGGGGGCACTGCCAGGCAGATGGGTCACAGCAGATTTGTCAAAAGCACGTAAAAACTGAGGTGCAGCTCCATGGCTCAGCAAAGGGAGCTGGGGATGAGAAGGAAGAGGAAACAACCACTTGAGAGGGGCGACGAAGTAATTTCAGGGACACCTCTTCCCATGCCAAGTCAGTGCTGACACAGCCACAGATCACATGCAAATTCAGCCAGACAGCCCCATGTCCCAGAACAGGCATTTCTTCACCCAGTGCGGGAGAAGCCATGGGGCAGGAGCTCCCTGCTGCCCACCCCAGAATGGGGCTAGTGAGGCAGGGGGCTGGCACCTGCAGAGAAGGATACACGTGGTTGCAGGAGAGACGGTAGGTGTTCTCAATGATCCCTTCCTCATTGACATCCACGAAGATCTGCTGGCCACAGACGGCACAGACGCTGTCAGAGAGGTGCTTGGTGGGCATCCCTGAGGCGCTGTAGAACTGAGCAAGGACAGAGCAGAGGGAGAGCAGTGACAGTGGCAGGGCACGTGTCCCACACCCACGGTGGCACAGCTAAGCTCTAAGGAGGGCTGGGGTCAGCATCCCAGGAGTCCAGCCTTGGCCTTTGGGGCTTAAAAACTTTGTTACAGGTCCAGCTGCGGGAAACAACTACAACAGGACAGCTGCTCAGTGATGCAGTGGCCCATCACACCCCAGCCCCATGCACCCCCTCCCCATGTCAAGAGGTCAGCCCTCTTTGCTCCCCAACAGCCAGGTGGGTTTTCAGCTGCCTGTCAGGACCATGCACCCAGGGCAGAGGCTGGGGAAGAGAGCAGGACAAACTGGTGGTCACAACTTTGACCCAAAATAACAGCCTTGGGCTGCCAGTCAGATACAGCCCCCACCTCCAGCCCTGCAGGTCCCTGACACTCATTCAGCAAAGCACAGAGCAGCCACCCCTCTCTATTTCCAAGCCTCACAGCTCAGCACAGGCCTGACATAACACGGAGAGTGCAGTCACAAAACCAGGTCCCACACACTCCAGCTGCAAGGGACCCCTCAGGA